CACTCTCTTAATCAATTTCAAGTGTGAAATATAGTATTATTAACTGTTATCATCATCCTGTACAATAGATTTAGATCCTCAGAATGTATCTTATCAGTGAAAGTTTGCAACCTTTGAACAACAGTTCCCTGATTCCCACACTCCTCACCCCTGGCAACTATCATTCTACTCTTTCTTTCTCTGAGTTTGAGTTTTCTAGGTTCCAAGTATAAATGAGATAATATAGTATTTGTTTTTTCTTTTTTGATATAAAACAACTACTGTCGGCCAGATGTGTTGGAACAGGCCTGTAATCCCAGTGGCTTGGGAGACTGAGGCTGGAGAATTGCTATCCTCAGCAAAAGTGAGGTGCTAAGAAACTCAGTGAGACCCTGTCTCTCAGTAAAATACAAAATAGGGCTGGGGATGTGGCTCAGTGGTTGTGTGCCCCTGAGTTCAATCCCTGGTAGCAAAAAAACAAAAACAAAAAAGTTACTGTCAGCTCCCTTTTTTGAATTTAAAATTAAAGGCATGTACATATTCTAATATAATCCAATGAAGACATAGGTTTGTAAGGTAGATGTGGCCAAACTATCATGTCCAGCAATGCAAAGGTCATGAATTGTCACTATTTCCTTTGTCGATGGAATTGCAAACCAGCACATTTTTAGTGACATTACTCATAACCACACTGTAGTTGTTTAAATTGGTAAGGATGATAATGAGTGTAATTTGTGGGTAATTAAGCTTCTCCTTTCCACCTGACAGTTATGCAAACTAGAAGGAGATGAACAGCATAGTCATGTGTTGCTTCAATTAAGAAACACTTCATGAGGACTTTGAATAGTGTGGGTGGGTGATTAAAATGTTAGAGGAAAAAGTTGAAATCGGTTATGCTTAAAAACCTAGTTTTATTGAGATATAATTTACATCCCATAAAATGCACTCACTTTAAAAGTGTATGATTCTATGAAATTTCAGAACACTTAAAGAGTTGTATAATCACCACCATGATTCAATTGTAGAACATTTTCACCACTTTAAAAAATAAGCATTATGTCTATTTACGATCACTCTGTAGTCTCACCTCCAGGTCGAGGCTACCACTAATCTTCTTTCTGTCTTGTTTTTGTAGGACATTTCTAATAAATAGAATCATACAAGTGTTCTTTTGTGTCATGTTTCATTTACTGAGAATAATGTTTTTAATTTTTTTAAAAAAATTGACCCATAAAAAATTGTACATATTTACGAGATCTTGTGATAGTGATATTTGTACTGTGTAATGTTCAAATCATATCTACCTCCTCAAACATTTCTGAGCAGGTAATTGAGGTTCATTCAAGTTGTAGTACATTTCAGTAC